CTACTACTACTGCTGCTGCTACAACTTGTACTTGTTCTCGTTTCCGGATGAACTGGGCCTGAGCCTCTGACATCGAAGCCCTAAATCCGGAACTACGGATTGCAGCTAGGCGGTAGATTCAGCTCCTTTTTTGCCTTTGCTCAAGAAGCTTGGCTCTCACGGCTCATTCTTGCAAGATATATGTCGTATCATCTGTTCAAGATGTTACGAGGATGGTGCGCCAGGGTTCGGGGTCGAGAGTCTGGGGCTTAGTAGTGTGTAGTTTGGGGGTTGAAGCTGCTTTCGGTTACTGTCGGCATGATTGCCTTCAACACCAGCGGAACACCTCAGCACATGCAGGTGCCCGGCTCCCGTCTAGCGCATGATTGGATAATTCTGAAAGTAACAAGCGATTCTGCCATGCTTGACATATGGGTAGTTCTCTAAATTAGGGTCCCCTTTTAAGTCCCCAATACAGTACGGCACCCTTGGAAAAAGGATCCCAAAACAGGACCCTAATTGAGAGAACTACCCACTTGTCGGCTCTAAATCCCAGATCCTGGACGCTGAACTTTAAACCCGAACCCTAAGGCTCCAAATGACCCAATAACTAGGCACTTAGGTTTCGGATAGAAGTTATGTAGGTTAGCACTTTGGAGAGTATATGATCATTAAGTGCTCGGACTCTTAGGGTAAGCCCATAGACCTCTAGACCCTGAGCTTGGAAAGACTCCAAATGTCTGCCTTCGGGGCTTTGCTTCCGGCGCGTGTGCAACTTGCCGTGCCGCAGGGCCTGAGGATTAGGGTTCGCGGCGTAGGGCTTCGGGTTCAGAGGTTTAGGGTTTAGGGCTCAGGGCTTAAAGTTTATAGGGTTTGGGGTTTGGGAGCTTAAGGAGTTAAGCTTGTTCGCTGCCAGGCAGCGTGGTGCTCAGGGATGCAGCGGCTTTCTGTGACGTTGCTACATGGGCCATGGGTTTTGTGTGGCCGAGAGGGTGTCTCTACGGGTTAGGGTTTAGGGTTCAGAGTTTAGGGCGCTAAATCCTAAACCGTAAACCGTGGGTGTATGTTGTGGATGTGGATACAGGCCTTCCAAAAAGCCTTGATTGAGGAAATAGACCTTACTTCATATTAGGTATCCCACTATGACTTGAGGTATATTCCTCAATTACGGGATTTTTGCCAGCTAGGGACTTACAGTTTGCCGTTTTGGGCTTGGGCCACGTAGGGGATCTCAAAGCAGAAATGGATGTAGGTAGTTCTCAAAAATCGGGTCTCTTTTGGATCCCAAGTATAGTACGGCACTCTTATAAAGCGGACCCTAAAAGGGACCTTAAATTTAGAGAACTTTCCATGTAGGGTCCTTAGGCAGCTAGAACAAGGCTTTGGTGCATGTTATGGCAAGGACACCTCAGGTAAGACATGACGAATAATTCATGATTCCGACCCCTCAATACCCAACACTAGCAACCTAAAAGCACCTACACCAGAACTTGCTAAAGTAGTAATTACCACGGATGAAGCGTCTACATCCTCTATGGAAGACCCGTAACTGGCCACATAGGCATCAGTTCTGGAGCATGGCGTGCGGTCAGCAGGCTGGGCAAACATGCCGCACCCTCCAGCCGCCGGGTTTAGAGCTTAGGTTTCGGATTTAGGTTCTAGGGTTTAGCTTGTGGGGTCTAGGGTTTAGGGTGTCGGGTTTATGGTTTATTGTGTGGTTTCGAGTTTGGGTTTTTTTGGTTCCGGTCCCCGGGGATGAACTCGAAGACCGGGAGTGGCAAGTTTCCGGAAGCCCGAACGGGCAGTGAAACCGGGCTTGATGGCTCTGTACAAAAAAATATCCAAAGCCTTTGGTGAGCTTACCCATGTGTAAATCTTTGACCCGAATTGTGCTGCTTAATCGCCTTTTCGGGACATAACCAAGAGGGGAGGTTGCTTCACATCTGTGGCTTGACACGAAATTCTAGCCAGAAATTTGTTGACGCTAGCTAGCAAAGTTCGTCCTCTGATGACAGATAAGCTCTTATACAGACAATGTACCACCCTGAACTTTGGGTTTGGGTTTAGGGTTTAGGGTTTATATAAAGCCAAGAGGGTCTTTACAGGGTTTAGGGTTTTAGGTTTAGGGTTTAGGGTTTAGGGCTTTTGCGATTGGGCGTTTGGGCTTTGGGCTTGATCCAGAGGCGCCGGGCCAGTAATCTAGGGGCCTAAATGACTAGAACAGGGTTTCCGGGCAGAGTATGCAATGTAACCCATTAAATAAGAAACCCTAGATATGAAATCGACAGAAACTCAAAAGGTTAGGGTTTGAATGCTTCCGTGTATGGTTTGTGTTTAGGGCTAAAACTATAAAAGGAACCTAAACTCTCAAGCAACATAAAACTTTAGAACCCCATAATCCTAAATCCCTAAAGCCCGAAAAGCCGCAAATCATAACACCGCAAAGCCCTTGACCTCATCATCGAGATTGCTACGGGCCTCCTCCTGACCATCCACTTTTACGGGACTCGCGGTGTGGCTAGGCTTCAGGGATCGGACACCCCATCATTGAGCATCCCACACCTGCTGTCCGGTTGACTTCTGCAATCTGCGATCTATGTACCCCGAACATCCTTAACTTAAATCACTAAACCCGATTTAAATTGCAACCTGCACCCTAGAAATCTCTAGGCAACCCAGCATTTCTAGGGATACTCATTATGGCTTCATTATAAGTCCCTATCGAGGTAGAGTTATCTGGGGTTCGGTAGACCCGAAATCGTCTGACTCCCCAGCGCAGTGCTCACGTAGAGGTGGAAAGTGCAGTCCTGGTGCAGGTCGGATCTACCCATAGGCCCCAAAGTGGTTCCTTTTTAGGATTACCTTATAAAATCCGAAATATGAACCACAAAAAGGAGCGACTTAGGAGCCTATGAGTACTTAAAGTCTTAAAGGATCAGGTGGCATATGGTTCCTACTAATTGCTATAGGGTGCGGGGACACATATTGCCGCGTTGAATGCGTACGTAAAGAAGGTGCACCAAACCTGAGTGTCGGCACCATTCCGACAGAAGGCACGTTCGTAGTGCATCGTGGAAACTATTACAGCTTTACTATCATCATCATCACCATCATCATCATCATCATCTTCAACAATATCATCATCATCATCATCACCGCCATCATCATCGTCAGAATGATCATAATTATCATGATTATAATCATCGTCATCATCATCATCGTCGCCATGGTCAGTGATTCATGCTCGCACCTGCGGTTCAAGCGAAGTGTGTTGTTCTGGTGGAACAACGCAGACAAACCGTGGAGCAACTGAGCTAGAGGATGATGACGGCTGACAGCGCCAAGGCAAGCCAGGAGATGCATGATTTAACAAGGCGCCGTGTGCGCCCGCTACCTCCTATTGAGGATACTGTAGGGTTCTATCATAGACTTCCCTCGAAGGGATCTATTGGATCTAGTCTATACGGCTTGATGGGCTTAAACGAACATGGGACTTCGCAAACAGGGTTATTTATTTAAGGTTATCTATACTTAAAACTGCCTACATCCCCAACTATCTTCTATCCACAAACTAAGTCCTATGATTCTTTAGGAGTTTAGGCTCCAACATCCAACATCCGTGCAGGACGGCTGCTACTACCTTCTGGGTTCTTTGGAAGCCTCTATGTGGCCTTGTGGAGTTCCCATAAATTCAGTGAGGGACCCTCATTAAGATTGTTGCACGATATGCGAACGGATGCCCATGGCTGTACTTATCTAACCCCACCGTTCGAAATACCAAAATAATCTTATATAGTATGGTCTTAGGACAAGTCCCAAACATGTGGTCTATTAGAGTCCATAAATCCTAAACACTATACGCCCGGAGGATGGATGTTTTGGGGTTATGGTTTGGAGCTACAGGTAGGCCTTACGAGCGGCTTGTGCAATCTTTGGAGATATGTTCGGGCGGTTGAGGGTTTAGGGTCTAGAGTCTAGGGCCAGTGTAGGGTTCAGGAGGATAGATTTCTTGCAGGAAGGATGAGGGAGGCTCACTGTTAGGCTTCGAGCTTTCTATGTGTAATCGGATGCAAGCAGCACAGGCCTTGCATGCATGCATACCCACACACACATCCCTGAATGCATACATCTGTACATCTAAAACCATACACATACATACATACATACATACATACATACATACATACATGCATGCATGCATGTTCAGGTGTGTGTGTGTATATATATATATATAACTCGCTCCATCCATCTATCTAGCCTTTGAGCTTTCAATGTGTAATCGGATGCAGGCAGCACAGGCCTTGCATGCATGCATACCCACACACACACATCCCTGAATGCATGCATCTGTACATCTAAAACCGTACACATACATACATACATACAT